GCCAGGACCTCCCACTGCCCGGAGCCGACCTCCCCGCGCACGGGCAGGCGCGGGGCTCCCTCCGCCCCCAGCCCAGGGCTGTCCTGGCTTCGGCTGACCCGCGCCTGCGGCGGGTCCTGAAACCAGTCCAGCCAGCGCCCTGGGCTGGGATCTCGGCGGGCACCCCCCTCACTCTGACCGGGGGCCTTGGGGACTCCGTCCCGCTATGGCCAGTAGCCTTGACTTGCCTCGTGGGTTTCAACCAGCCGACGCTGCCACAACCGGCGGCTTGCGCTGGCGCTCCCGGTGTAACTAATGGCCCCAAGCATCACCGCGCTTTCGCTGGCCTCTCCCACCGCACCCGGCCCAGCCTGGCCGGCGGCCCGCGGCCGCTTCTCCCTCTGTGCCCGGCGATGCCCGCCCCCGCGGCCAGGGCTCTGGGCTGTTCTCGTTTGACCAGTAGCCTGGAACCCACCAGTCCAATCTCTTATCTCTAATGGTCTTCAAATCCCACTTCAACCTAGGCCTCAGTGAGGAAGAGGGGGGTGCCCGCAGCTCTCTCCCTCGCTGCGCTTGGAAGGCCCTCCCGCTCTTCCCCCTGTCCGGGGAATCCCAGGAATGCCACCCCCCTTCCTCCTTCCTGCTCCCCCCTTCGATTCCCTCCCTGCCTTGGGGGGAGGGGAGGAGGATCGCGCGGGCCGTAGCAGGTGAGTGGGGGAGGGGAAGAGGCCAGGGCACCTGGCGGAAGTGGGAGGAGCCCAGGCCCCCGGTGGGAAGAGAGGGTCGCAAGTCAGACTCGGAGGGTCACAGGTGGGGAGCCTGCCGCCGAGGCTCCTCACAAACCCGGCCAGACCGGGACAAAAATCCCAACAGCTGGCTGCGGGGTTGGGGGGAGGGAGCTGTCGCTGGTTACCTGGGAGAAGTTAGTCCAGGACACTAGTCAGAATGGGGGCTCTCTGGTCATGTTGGGAGACGTTCCTCAGCGGGAGGGTGGGGTGGAGGGATGAGGGGTTGAGGGGTTGGGGGGAGGGGGCACGTCCCCGCAGCCTGGGCTCTGCCTGGTCGGACTCGGAGGGAGGGCTTAGATTACAGCCGGCCCCGAGTTATTGGTCACACCGGTCAGCAACTGTCGTACTGAGGAAGAGGACCTTTTAGCGTCAGCTGCGCCATCCCCTCCCCCAGGAAGCCCTCTCTGCCCCCTGGCTGGGTCAGGTTCCCCTCTGAGCCCCCACGACCCTCCCGCCCCCGTGGGCTCCCCCACTTCAGTCCTGCACACCCTGGCAGGTCCCTGTCTGGGGACGGGTCTGTCTCCCTCACTGGACCGTGAGCCTGCGAGGGCAGAGCCAGGGATGTCTTGGTCACCGTGGTGTGCTCTGTGTTGCTCGCGAGGCTCACACCCAGGGGCACACAGCCTACGGGTACACGCCCCCCAGACCGGATCATCGCAGGACACACGATAGACTCACTCATGGCCACTGCGGTGGCACTCCGAGACCATCGCAGGCGCTCCCTGGGACAAGCTCGCACACTGAGACCTCAGGCACACCTTAGCTCTTCTGTCCCCAGCTTGTGCACCTGCCGCTTGGGCTGGACCCTGCTAGGTAGGTGCCCTCTCATCAGCCAACCCCTTGTACCTTCCTCAAGCATGGGGCCCCCTGAGGTCCTGGGCGAGGGAGAAGAACGAGATGGGGTGTGCACGAAGGAGGAAAGCCATAAATGCCAGCCACAGCCCCTCACAGACGTGCAGAGACTAGTCTCGTAACATCAGCTGCCTTTGTCCCTCACAATTTATTCCCCACCAAACAGCCAGAGGGATCCCGTTAAAGTGTGAATCAGCTCCTGTCGCTCTTCTCCAGAGTCCTCCCATGGCTCCTGTCTCACTCCGAGGACAAGCTGAAGTTCTCCCCACAGCTCGTGAGGTCCTTGATCCTGCCCCCTTTTATCTCCCCGACCCCATCTCCCACTCACTTCCCCTCACCAGCTCCTCTCTCGTCACGCTGGTCTCTCTGCCGCCACGCTCTTCCTTCAACATGGCAGGCACGTGCCAGCCTCGGGACCTTCGCACTTGCTCTTCCTGCTGCTGGGACATTCTCCCCCCACGTAGCTTCCTCCCGCACGTGCTTCAAATCTCGGCTAGGCGCAGTGGCTCACGCTTGTAATTCCTGTAACCCTAGCACTTTGGATGGGAGGATCACTTGAGGCCAGGAGTTCAAAACCAGACTGGGCAACATAGCAAGACCCCAACCCCTATTGCTACAAAAAATAAAAAAAATTAGCCGGATGTGGTGATGCACACCTGTAGTATCAGCTACTTGCAGGGCTGAGATGGGAAGATTGCTTGAGCCCAGGAGTTCAAGGCTACAGTGAGTTCTGATCTCACCACTGCACTCCAGCCTGGGTGACAAAGCAAGACCCTGTCTCTAAAACAAAGCAAAACAAAACTCTACTCGAACCTACCTCATTAAAGAGCTTTCCTTGACCAAGCTATCTAAAATAGTAGCAACTCCTGCTGTCCCTGCCACTCCTTATGGCCCTTATCTGATTACATTCTCCTCTATGGCATTTAGTGCTTAGTTATTTTTTGTTTGTCTTGCACAGATTACAAACTGCAAAAGAACAGGAACTTTCTTTTGTCTACCAGTGTATCTCCAGGGCCTAGAACAGTGCTTGGCATGAGGAAGACATGAGTAAATATTTGTGGACCAAATTATTTTCAATTCCATCCTCGCTGTCTCGTGTGTATATACTTACATATCTTCAGTCACAAGCCTTAGCTTTTTCCTACCTTTCTCCCATGATTTTACACACAGTGTGTGATGGTTAACTTTATTTTTTTTCATTAATTAATTAATTTTTTGAGACAGGGTGTTGCTCTGTCACCTGGGCTAGAGTGCAGTGGCGTCATCATAGCTCACTGCAACCTCAAACTCCTGGCCTCAAGCGATCCTCCTGCCTCCGCCTCCCATGTAGCTGGGACTACAGGCTCACACCAACACACCCAGATATTTCTTCTATTTTTTTGTATAGACAGAGTCTTACTCTTGCTCAGACTGGTCTCGAACTCCTGGCCTCAAGCAATCCTCTGCCTTAGCCTCCCAAAGTGCTAGGATTACAGGCGTGAGCCACCACGCCCTGCCCTGATAGTTAACTTTAAAATGAACTCATAGCTTATGGAATATGGGGATCACGGCCCATTTGGAGGGGAATCGCTATTTCCAGATGATTCCAGTCTCAGGTCTGGCAAATGGAACTATTGAAATTTTGTGCTGTTTTGGGCAGCAGTGTGAATGCATTTTTGATTGTAGAAGAGTTAGTTGCACAGGGAGAGTTTAGATAAGAACTTTTGGGGGAGAGAGTATACACATAGAACAAAAAACGTATTGATATTGAGCATTTATAGGAGCAGACTGTAGTGGACTTTTTTTGGTGGGGAGGGGGTTTACCCGGCATCTGCCCCTCCCATGCCCCACCCAGATTTAGGGAAATCCCTCTTGTCTGAAAGCCTGGTGCCCTCTGTTGAAGCCAACAAGACAGATGTTCGCTTTCCAACCTCTCTTGGCCAATCCTTCCACACTTTTGCAAAAGGAGCAGGAATTGGCAAATGTCTTGCAGCCATAGAAGCTGGGGCAGAGTCTATTTTCCAAAGACGGTTGCGACAATCTCTCTGACCCCACACGCTCTTCTACAATCAGAGCTTGACACTTTCCATCAAGACGTGGAGCCTATCACCCCTGCTCTCGAATCTGTGCAGTTTTGTAACTTTCATGTAACCAACAGAATGCAGCAGAAGCAACACTGCGTGACTGCCAAGATGAAGTAGAAAAAGCCACGCAGCTTCTGCCTGGGTCACTGGAATACTGTCCGTGAAGCCTTCGGCCACCACATAAGCAGTCTGACTACCTCTGACTACCGCGAGGCAGCCACGCTGTGGGGAAGCCCAGGCCGGCCTGTGTGGAGACACATGGGGAGGCTCTGAGACTGCAGAGAGACACCTGTCCAGCCCTGGCCACCGCTGACTGCGCCCCGAGCCAGAACCAACCCGTCATGCCCTTCCCCAAATCCTGGCCCATAGAAACCACAGAGGTAATGCAGTGATTGTCGTCATTTGCCACCGAGTCGGGAGTGAACTGTTACGAGCAGCTAATGAGAAGAGCATCCTGTTTCTGGGGCAGCGGAGGCAATGAGACCCTACAGTGTCCAGCGGTTATCGGGCACCAGCGTGTCCTCATCAGACCGGTTCTGTGGCGTGACCGTGTCTGGGTTACCGTTGCTGGCCCGCTGCCAGCGTTCTTGCTTTCCAGTCCTGGTTCTCCAATCACTCCTGGGATTCTGCAAGCGACCCAAAATCCTCTCAATGCGTCGCCTTTCTGTCCCAGACGTGGATTCGGTTGCTCGGAACTCAATCTATGATACATCCTTTCAAGCCCCTTGTCCAGTGGGATACTTTTTCCTGATCTTTTAGGTCTCAGCTCAGACATCCCCTCCTCCTGGAAGCCCTACCTGACCTCCCAGGCTGGGCCAGGCTCCCGCTCCGGGCTCCTGCAGCCGCCAGGGCTCCTCCACCCCCACCCTGCCCACTCTGGGTCATCTGTCTGGGGACAGGTCTGTCTCCTGGATTGTGAAGCCAAGCGGGGCAGTGACCAGGGTAGACGCAGGGCAGGGGCTCAGGGCATGTAGACTGCTCTAAACTGAGGTGGAGGGAGGCGTGGGTCCCTCCGTGAGTGATCAGGTGGGGACCCACCCACCGCCTCGGGCTCCTTTTAGACTAGAAGTTATTGTTACTCTGGGAGAAGGATCCCAGAGGGGACGGAGAGCAGGTTGTGGCGACACTGGGCACATAACTCTCAAGGAAATGCGTGTGGTCTTTCTGATTAGGGCCTCGGAACTTGAATATCTGGATCTGGGTCCAGGCATTTTTTTGCCACGATGGGGGAGGGGAGTTGGATGGCTGGTTCTCTGAGAACTTGGGACTCTGGACGCGTACGTCCTGAGGGCAGGACTCCTGGGACTGACAGAGGAGGCTGGGGCCCAGATTCTGTTTGAAGGTCTGAGAGAGGAGGAGGGCCAGGGCCTGGGCCCCTGGGTTTGAGGGAGGAGGTTGGGGGCCAGGAATCCTGGGTCTGAGAGAGGAGGAGGTTGGGGGCCTGGACCCCTGGGTTTGAGGGAGGAGGTTGGGGGCCAGGACTCCTGGGTCTGAGGGAGGAGGGCCCAGACCCCTGGGTCTGAGAGAGGAGGTTGGGGACCCGGACTCCTGGGTCTGAGGGAGGAGGGGCTGGGGCTGGACCCCCAGGTCTGAGGGAGGAGGGGCTGCGGCCCCCACCCACCCCCGCCGGACTCCTGGGTCCCAGGAGTGAGAGGCAGGGGCCTGGACTCCTGAGCTGAGCAGGTGGGGATGGGCCCGGGGACTGCCCTTTCTCAGTGCCACGCCGCCCCCTGGTGGCTGCTGCACTCTTCCTTCACAGACTGGAGGACAAACCAGGGTGGGAAGTTTATTTCCGTTTCACAAGCCCCTTCCAGCCCCTGGGGCCCCCTTTAGCAGCACCTCTGGGCGCCCTGCGATGCGGAGAGAGAGGCGTGTTAGATTATGTCACATCCGGGAGGAGTGGGGGAGGGCGGGCCAGGCCTGGGGGAGGGAATCTGAAGAGAGGGGAATGGACTCACCTGGCCTCCAGGTGTGGCAGCCAGTGGGGGGGCCCCTCGGGGCAGCCGGAGGGGCGCCTCCCTTCAGGAGCTCCTGCAATGGAGAGCGTGTCGGGGGGCACTGGTGATTCCTGGGACCCAGTGCTTCCCTCTGCCCCCTTCCCCGCCCGCCTTCCCTTACACCCCAGTCCCAGACCAGCCTACCCAGCCCCTTCGCTCACTCTGTGGCCCCCTCCCTGGCTCGGGGACTGGAAGTGACTTCCCACGGGGCTGAGGTCTCAGTCCTAATTCTCGGCAAGGGAAGGGGGGGCCGGAGTCTGGGGAGGGCCAGAGGTGCCTGGAGGGGAGGAGATGAAGAAATGTCCCAGGTGAGCGGCAGCCTGGGGGCTGGGGGCATCATCTCACAGCGGTGGCGGTGGCGGGGGCTGTATGACCTGTCTTCTCTTCAATCAATGCCTTTTTTTTTTTTCTTCTCACCTCTGCCTTGGGTAGGAAGAAGTTTTCATTTTTCTGTCCACCCACCCGTCCGCCCACCCATCCACCCCGCAAACATTTCCTGAGCACCCACAGTGTGTCAGGCACTGTTTTAGGTTCCGATGAGACAGCCACAAGCAAGATAAAAAAAACATCTCTGTCATCCTCGTGATGCTGACGGGCCTCTGAGCCAGAGGCGAGTAATCAGCTTAGGAACAAAGCAATATCTCTATCTCGGAGCGGTTCCGAGAACTCCAGAGTGCACGGGGCGAGTGGGGGGTGCCCGGGGAGGCCTCTGGGAGACGGGGATGATGGAGCAGATTCCTGAGTTCCAGAAGGATCCTGGCAGAGGCTCTGAGATGGGGGTCTTGCTGGCTTGTTAGA